TACATGCAATATAAGCTATGTTGGTAACATTTTGTGACATTCACCCTCAAATTCGGAATGACGTTCCTAAAGTTTTCTTAAATATCGAGTCTCTCTTAGATGTCCCTCTTAGTTTTTCACTAAGACTTGAGCTTTCTTAAACGCAATTGGTGTGCCGCTTATCGTGCTATCTAATATGAGGTTGAACATACTATTGTTCAAAGAATTTTCTCATACTAAATATAAATTCATGCTAAGATCTGTGATTTTTTTTCAAAATATGAGCCTCCCCAAGCCTCTCCTACCTATTTTTAGGGGAAGCTTGAGCCTTCCCAAGCCTAATGGCTCCGCCGCCACTGTCTTCTTCTATATTGATATCAACATTTTCATCTTTTTTTTTTCTTGTCGACTTCTTCGTGATTCTTTGCATTCTTAATATGAAATAAACGTTTCTTTGACAAAGAATCATCGTTAATAAGTTATTCAGTCATTTATGAGAAAATATATACTTCTTTTTTCTGGTCATCTCGCCTGACACTTGTCATGCTCAACACTATCGCTAGTGAACACTCAATTTTCAATTTAATCCCCATTTCTTTTACAACTATGCAAATAAGAACAATTGATTAAATTGCTATTAGTAAATGATGGGTACTCTGTATAAGCTTTATAATTCAAACAAGAAAAATATAATAAAATACGTCATAGTGATATAAAAATATCAAGATAAGACAAATGTCTTGAATACATAAAATAAGTCATCATTTGTATGTATTAACAACTGTTGCCTTTTAGAATAGAGTTAATTATAATCATTCGTGGCTTCTATTTGACCATAGTCTTAATGCATAATCAATATTTTTTATTACATACAAATAATAGAAAAGAGCAAAATACATCTCAACTGAAAAAAAGAATTAATATTTCAATTTGAATTTAAGACTAAAGAACTTTTTAGTAACTACTAATATCAACTACATTCATCAATCGTCATAAAAATTTTATTCGATAAACTATTCGTTGAACTTGCATCGAAAAACTTTTGTTTTTTATTTATAATATACTATTTTGAATAATACTATACAAATAAATTTGAACTGAAATAATTTGTTTCATAATAATATGCAAATAGATAATTTGGTGTTGAACTATTGGCTTGATTAGCAAAACAACAAAATGTTCATTGACAATGGAAGTTACAATTGTTATTCTTTCATTATTAAAGAATATAATCAATACTACATAATCCATAAGTATAATTCAGATTTATAAGAATTAAAACTGTCAAAATAATTCTTTCAACAATAACAATACAATTATAAACTGATGCAACATAATAATCATTATTTGGAAAATTTATACTCTAGAATTACTGTTTTTATGTAGAAATTTCATCAACTATTGTTAAATTTTTCTGATTTAATTCAATGAATTTTAACGTTATCATATTGATTATGAATAAATAACTAGGATTATTTGTAATAATTCGTTGAGTATTGCATTTATTTATATAATTTCGAGTACTATTTTGAAGTTCATTGAAGATTTTCATGTGTGAATAATGCAAAATTAAAGCATATTTTTTTGTTTTTTCATTCATGCGAAGATTAACCACGACTAGTTGATTAAGAATTTGTACGTTTTCATTTTTTTTTTGTCGAAGGATTTTTGATAAAAAGAAATGTCGTCTTTTTGCCCAAGAAAAAGAAATATTCAAGACTATCGAAAATCGTTTGAAAAAAATGATACTAGACAAATCCTTAGTTAGTTCATCGAGATTGATTACATGAGTTGTTCAGGATAGTTGTGTTATTCAACTTAGAGTGAGGCATAAAGATAGCATCATCAATATATGCAGTTTGAATGAAATGTACAAGAAAGATTGAAAGAAATAGAGGTACAACTAGACATGCACCAAACTGAAACTTAAGCCACTTGAAAGTTTGAATTTGGGTTTGGTTTTGAATATTAAGTTTGAGTTTGGTAATAAAAGTAATCAAATGATTCAAGGTTGAGCTTAGGTTGCCTTTTACTAATGTTATTTACTTCTAGGGATTCACCAATTCTAATTTCAGTCAATTTTAATTCTTCGACCAGAGTGAACTTGACTACAATTAGAGTTGACTAGAATTATAATTGTTGCATCCTCGGAAACAAATAACATAAGCAGGAGTGGATCTAAGCTTAAACTTGAATCATTCAATTACTGTTAGTACCAAACCCAAACTATTTGGGTATGATACATGTCTCAGTACAATCACATTAAAACACATGGCATATTGTTCCATAAGATTGGTTGACATGCAATGATTAAGACTCGACAATGAGTTATAAGGGTAAACTTCCTTCGAATATCAGACACTATATCTACACCATTGAGAAGAACTCTTTCTCAAACTCATGTACTGCTCCTATTCACATGATTATTCGTATTATTCCCTCTTATTACACAAAATCGGCATGATGACCTACTCTACTTCTACTGTACCATTCTGATAAGATTTACATATTACCTTCAATGGTCAGATACTGTTTTTTGTCAGTGTATGTGATGAAATTTCTTTAAGATATAGACGTTTTAAATATTAAAAGACATAGATACTTAGCTATGCTATCAAATTCGATTGATGGTGAACTGTTATTAAAAAAAGTCAATAGTATTAAATTTAGAAGATTTTGGCTACAGAACAAATATCCTATTAAAGATTCGCATCGATCGAAAAGATTTGTTAGACATATATGTATTATTAACAAATGTTGACTATAATGGTACGCTGCTAACTGCTCTATTCGTTCGGTAATTAATTATAACATGTTAGATTTTTATACGATAAAAAAAACTTTCTGATACATTTTAATTTCAGATCTACAAAACCTATTTTAGTGTTGTCAGTGTTCCACTCAGATTATTATTGATTTTCATCTAAGTAAATTATTTTTTTTTGTTTTTCTCTTTTCCTTTCATTTTTAAAACTTTTTTTTACTGTCTTTCGATTTTTGTATATGTACTACTAGGGTCTGACCGCCATCAGCGGTTGAAAAAAAATAAAAAAGCACATCACATACTGTTGAGTGGTAATAAAAACAAACATTTGTATTTTATTTGAAAAAAGAGTATTTCAATCGATAGAAGTTAATAGAACTTATTTCATTTTTCTCGAGTATTTATTGATGTTTAAAACTTTTTCGGTAACATCTTTTACAAACTAATATAAAAATGAAATATAAATTAACAAAATTTCAAATCTATTGACATGGAAATCTAGATAGTTGTACCTTATACAAAATTGAAAACCTATTGCAAAAGTAAATTAAGTACCGAAATAGCATTAATTGATAACATGCATTAATTAAGAAAAATTCTAGAAAAAATAGTTATACTCATATTTTTAGGCTAGTTATTTTTATTTTTGCTAATAACTTTAATAAATTTTCAGACATCAAAAACACAATCTATGAAGTAACAAAACAATAAATCATTATTATTATTTAGTAATGATGGAATGATTTTATATGAAAGAGAAAAACAAGCATGTTTGTTCGTATTTGTTTATTTAAAATTCTTCTTCTTTCACATGTATTTTGGCTATTAAATTAGTAACGAAAATCAATGCATTATACAATTTTCTATTACTAATGATGCATTCGATGTAGTGCCATTGTTTCATGTGAAGACATTAAAATCTAACTTGAAAATAATTGTTTATAAAATGTGGATGATTCAAAAAACTATATAAACAGAAAGATGGATTGATACTTGAGTAATAATAAGGCTACCGAATACAATACTATCAATTATGACTTTGAAGAGAAGTCTATTTTGGAAACAAATAGGGAAAAAAACTTGTGGTAATATACAACAGTGGCCAATAACAAGAAATAATCGTGAATAAAAAACAAGCAAGCAGTTTCAAATAATCAATGGCTTGTTTACCAAAAACTACTCAGTTATGAGTTAACGACTAATCTGATTCAGAATATGATCATAATAAATCGTCTTTTTATACAAATTTTCTTGAAAACCAGTTTTCAAGACTAGCAAGTTTGTTGTCAAAATTGTTTTTGATCTACTCAGATTACAGAACATATGGAACTGTTTATACAAGAATAATCTTTACTGTTTTCAAAAACTGAGTTTTATGTAAAATAATATCATCTAGAAGGTTTTCACGATGAAACGTTGATATGTATCTTTTGTATGAATTAACATGGTTTCATTTTCGTTAAAAGAAAGAAGGATTTGAAACAGAAAAATTTACACTTTTCTAGACAATTCGATATACGCTATAACCTGAACAGATGACAAAAATTTGGTTCCTGAAAACTGGTTGTCTAGAAAATAAGGAGATAGAGACCTAAGGGAGTTACTTATGGTCATATCCGAGACCATCATAATCGATAACGCATAATCGGTTAGCTTTCACTAAGAAAGCTATTGATCAGTTGAAAAATTTTCTTCGTAAGTTTAATTTGGTTTGACAGAGACCTTACAATTTCAAAATTACCTTCGTCGTGTTGCAGAGATAGTTCTTTAGTTAAATGATCATATCCTATTGGTTTTTTATCATGAATGCATTCTTTGATATAGTGATTGTTCAATAGAATTTTTTAATATTCGTGTACTTGAGAATTCTTTTCTAATAAATGCTGCCCTTAAAAATCTTGTTAAAGATTATAATTCATCAATATAATGTGCATACGAAATATATTTGCAAGCCACAAATACATCAATGTAGTATTAAGTTTTTGTTGGTTATCAATCTTTTTAGTATAAATCGATTTAAAATGCTTATTCAATATTTTTATAGAAAGTTTTCAACAGCGATAAAATAATATATATTTATCGAAAAAAGAAAATGAAAGAAAAACTTTAACTTGAATGAAATTCAAGTTCAAACCAAATTTCATTAGATACAGTTAATGTCAATTAATTCGAACGATTTCCATACGAAATTATTCATCAGTATCATTTATAACATCGCATTGATATAAAAAAAGCAATTTTACAAAATTTGTGTTGGTCAAAATCTTTGAATTACAATCTGTGTTGGATCGATTTCGGTAACAAAACTTCCTCTTTGTGCAGCCATTTGACGAGTATAAAAATTCGCTCCTCGATGAGTATTATGTTGATTATCATTGTCAACATCATTTATTGCATGAAGATCCTCAAGAGATAATTTTTTAAGAAATGTTTTTCGAAAAAACAGAATTGCTGGATTTCGAACAAGAAAAGCAGCTAATCTCCATTTTCGAATATATCTTGATGTTTTTTTTACGCCAACTACCTGTTTTCCTTCGAATGGAAAATCATCTAAATCAATATGAGCCGTTGAATATTGTTGTTGTTTAATTTCACTAAATAAATGTGAAACGAATACTAACATAACTGGATGTCGATGAGTACATTCTGTATGAATAAAACCACAATAAGCATTAAAACCACTATCGAATGATTCTAATTTTCGACCTAATGGTGAATAATCTAATCGACACATATAAAATGTTGCACCAATAATACTTTTAACAAAACGTAATATGGATGAAACAAAACCAAGAAAAGCATCTAAGAAGAAATTAAAATAAATAAATATCATAAAAGATCGACGATTGTTCAGTGCTAAAACATCTCCACAATGCTGTAAGAAAACATATTGTGCCAGCAACTTATTTAAAAATATTTTAAAAGTAACAAGTAAAAGACTTGGTAGTATAAATTTTAAAATTTTTTCGAGTACTTCGACACTTCCATATGTAATAAATGCACCTACAGAAATACAAAATGTTGTTGAAAAGAATGCTATAATAATAAAACCCCATATCAAATAACCAATAAAATATCCAGCAAAATGAAAATTTCCTGTAGCATATGAAATATATTGTGATCTGTGTCTTCGTGGTATTTCACTATCATCACCACGATATACCTGTAATAAATTTCGTCGTATATTAGCTAACAATACAATTAATTGTATAACAATAATTGTTACTGTCATAGCTACAGCACATAAGTATGATTTAACTAAATTTGGTAGTGGAAAATTTATTGAAACCGGATCTTCGCCATTATCATTATTAGAGAATATATTAATTATTAAAGTAATTAGATCAATGATAGAATCAATCATTGTTTGAAGACTTGATTGAATAAGATTTAAGACAGGTAGCAGTTCTACACAAGCTTGAACAGTAACCAAGAAAAGTAAAAAGAATATGGATGCATAAACACATAAAATACGGGATGAAAATTGAAAATCATCTCTCCATTCATAAATAAATTTTGGTATTAAACGAGCAAATAATACTTGACTTCGAGGTCTCTGATTAGCTGAACGAAATAAATTTCGTACATAAAGCATTTCAGTCGAATCTGGATGAGATACAGTTAATAGAAGCTTTCCTTCTCGTGTTAATTGCATCTCCATTTTATTTTCTTCTGTTAAGTTTTTTTTTCGTTGATTATATATTTTTTCTACAAGCATTACTGGTAATTTAACACTAACATAAGCTAAACAAAGATATCGTGGAATATTACTACACACTTCTATAGCAATCAGTGCTGAACCAGCACCATAATAATCTAACTTATCATTAATATCAGTTGAATTTTGTAAATAATCATCATAAGTTGGATAATAAGACGGGTAACACATACCTTGAGTAACAATTGTAAATGAATAATCAAGCCATGCATATATTGTTGCACATAATAATGTAACTATCGAATTGATATAAACAGAAGATAATATAGGATAAAATCGAAAGCCCATAATTAGTACTTGAAATATACGTAAAAGAAATGTAACAAGAATGCCTTCCTTTGGACCTGATGAACCACCAAGTTGCTGTACTATTTCAAACAATTCATCAGCTATAATGGCAAAAATAACAGCAGCAAACTTTCGATCTAAGTGTGAAAGAAAATCAAGAGGTACTGGTGGTGCACCATATCCATAGCATTTATTTCGCATAAATGAGATTCGCTTGGTCACTACTATACAAATGATGACAAGCAGACAGGCAACAGGAAATGTCACTACATTGAATTGCTGAATATCAAATATATCACAAAAAGATTTTCTGCTAAAATATACTGGTTCTTTATTGTTATATTTATTAACTATTTCATCATGAATTTGTTTTATAATTGACCATTTAGCAAGAAGAGTTCCAGTAGCAACAATAATCATCAAAATAGTAATAACACGTGATGATACTGAAGTTGATTTTTTCACATGTTGAATTGCTATATTTATAAGTTTCGGATCTTGTGATATTTCCCTAAATTTAAAATTATATATTGGAAAATAGTTCAATATGTATTTACTTTTCCTTGTTTTCTTTTGGTTCTTTGCATTTCTTATAAATCCTTCGAATGATTCGTAAACTGTAAAAAATGATAATAAGTGTTGCCGTCAAACAACCAAGTATAATAACTTGTTTTCCACTATCTGATTCTAAAAAGAACTTATATTATTTTATTTGATGTAAAAATCGAAGAAAAAACTTACGTTGATTACATAGTTCTCCTTCCCACCAAAATTTACATTCACATAATGTTTCGGTTTCGTTCATATAGCAATAGCCATATCGTCCACATTTATTCTCCGTGGGACAACCTGAAAAAAATTTGGTTTAAAACAACAGATATTCTTAAGTTTAATGACTGACTCTGTTTTCCATTAATCATAATGAATAATAAGAAAATAAATATGATTTTCAAAATCATTTTTATTATTTACGTAAAACTAATTTCAATAGACATTATTTCTCTTACAGCTTGTATTTATACATATCTAAAAACAAGGTTATGCCTGACTGATTTAGTTTGCTTATGCCCACTCATAACCTGTATTTTTTTTTTATCAATTTTCTCTCGTTTTCGTTTCGAAGCTTCATATTGAGACGATATTGTTTATTATGATACTATGTTAATATTAATATTTTCATCTTTTCCTATAGCTCTATCACGTGAGCGATTGCGATTGAGGTGCAACAAGAAACGTTATTCACCTAATAGGACACCTTGACTTGTTATAACAAATTATATGGTTTTAGTGAAGCATGCTTAGGGTGAAAAAATAACATAGAGGAGTTCCAAAAGGCACCTACAAAAAAGAAAATTGTAAATTTTCATTACAACTTCACTGAATGAACTGCTTTTTCTTCTATCGATAGAGGACTCTTTCAAGTTTTATTTCATAAATATATACTTCATAAATTTCTCTGAAAATTATCATTTTTAGACTCAATACGCAAGAAAGTCCCTTTTCGAGTTTCAGAAAAGAATACATAAGATTTTTTTGTAAGTTTTGTAAGTTTTTTTTCATTATTATGGACTTGTAATCATATAGGTCTCCTTCTCTCACTTTATAAATACTTGTTTTAAGGCTTTTGAAAAAATTTAAAATGATTCTTGCATTTCTACAAAGCGATTTGGTTGTCGCTGAACAAAGACTTTGTTCAAACGAAACAGGACTATTGAAACAATCAATCACACTTATTATATATTTACTGCAAAAAGTATCCTATTATACATGAAGCAGATGAACCAAAAAATAATACATAATTAATGAACACCGTTAGATGTATAAGTATACTATGATGTTGTTTATGGCCATGCTTGATAGATCACAATTACGATAAATGCTTGATTTATTGACATATTGACATATAGATACACAATTACCATCAAATAAATTGCTAAATGTCATTTTCTTTTTTTGAAAACATGGGTCACGAAAAAAGGTAATGATTTCGCATCTTAATATGTCTCTATTAGACCTGGATACCTCATGATATAACAGTCCGTTTTAAGCTGAAAACTAGTATCTTTTTTCTTCGTTCTTGAATATTAATTAGATTTATTTTCTCGATGACTAACTTTATTTTAAATGTAATTACACAAATCATCACAATATTAAGCAAACGTTTGAGACAGTTGCCAAAATTAAAGTAAGATCTTTGACAATTAACAACAGAGTTGTCTTTTATAAATTGAATTGAAAGGAAAAATAGGTCATTTAAAACAAACAAAAGAAAAAACAAAATAATTTCTGACTGAAGAGAACTCAGAAATGCATTGAATATATAACTTTAACTACAAGACTTAATATGATCATTCTCCTCAAGTTTTCTGTTCATTTTTGTTTATAAATTTTTCTCCATAAGAATTAATTTCCTGTTATTCTCTTATCCTTTCCCGACAAAATAATAAATATTCATGTTCAATTAAAATTAGTTAACAATGTAAGAATTTGATCCAGCCATTAAACAAGAAACTAATTGATTCAGAAGTCAGATTTCCTCAAATAAATAAAATAAATGAAAATATTATCTTATTCATATATTCATTGAGAAATTTCCTCTTTGTAGATATCGATGTCACTATTATAAATATTATTTCTTAGTGACAAATGCTTGTACAAAACCTTGTAGATAAAAGTTCATGGGTATATCTAACCCAAGCAGTCATGCGATGGTATTTCGAGGTGTCGATATTCCGAGCAGTCGAACGTTATTCTAAAATTTCAAAAAAGTTTCGCTCTCCGTATTTGATTTTTTTGAGCACTCGATACCTATCGACTATTTTTGCAGAAATGAAGATTCGAACAAATGTACTTACGAATACGAAGCTTGTATAGATCAGATGAACCAAAATATAACATTTTAATTTTAGATAAATCTAAGTGCCATCATGATATATGTTTAACTTTTATATTTTTTTCTATTTGCTTGAAATATAAATTTTATTAGTTTTTTTTTGAAAAAGCAACTCGTGGTACATATATAGCTATTGTTGATGTTAAATAAAAGCAATTTTATCTGTTGTCAGTGTCATTGTATTAAATAAAAAATTTATGCTAAAGTATAAATTACATTACAATTAATTAGATTATGCAAAAAAGAAAGCAACAAAAAAATATATTGAAACTAAAATTAGACAAACTCGACTTATTTATCCCTATTAAGTGTATAATATTCAACTATCTCAGTAACTGCGAGGACTAAAAAATAAACCAATAGTTTTAAATGATCCCATGAACTTTCTTTGTCAACGAGTAATTGAAATTCAGAGCTAGTCAAGAACTCAGGAAATTTGTCGTGTTATGAAAGTAAACTCATTATGATTATGTTTTTTCTCAGGACTGTAAAGATATTTCTATCGTTGTTCTAGTTGTAAATGATAAATAATATTGTTTAAATGATCAAACTACGTGAAAGCACCTGTAGAAAACTGAAATTCTTCAAGTGGATCATGTAATAAGAGTGAAAAAACATCATTGAAAAACTGAATTTCTGAGATGTTTTTAGCAATTGAAATTAAAACTAACAATTGAAACTATCTTTCCATGGGCTTCCTGTCTTCAAGTAATCGAAATTTCGATAAACTACGAGTCATCGAAACGTGTCCAAAGAGTCGAAAATGAATGCACCATGGGACATTGTTTCTGACTACTCGACAGTTCCATGGACTGCGACTCATCGGGATGATATTGAATAATCGAAATAATCTTTCCGATAGGTCTCCTCTCCTCGAGTAGTCGATATTTCGATTGTTTCCAAGCGGTCGAAATATGTCTGAACACTCAAAAATAAATGTGCGATGGAAAAACTCTTCCGAGGGTTCAAAATTCGAACAAAACGAGAAAAAAATCTATATTCAAGTTTCGACCACTCGTCGTACCCATCGTTGGCTTTTCAGGGTCTGCTTGGGAAGTTATTGCATTCTTTTATTCTGTAAATATATTAGTGGTGTAATACATAGAGCGAAACCGAGTCAAGTACTCAGTAGATCGACTTGACTCGACTAAAACCGAGCCGACTCGAACCGAGATTGCGAGAAAGTAGGTCTAGTCAAACCAAATATGCCGCAGTCGACTCTTCAGATATTCCAAGTAATGTTTTTTTTTCGGGTGGCATTAGCAATGAATGAACCTAATGTTCCAAGTCATGTATACAGTTGACACTGATAGAATAGTAATATGTACCTTTTTCGGAGATTCCTCTGAACTTCTAGCATGCTAATACTCTGAAAATTTTTTCTTCGAATCAAATCGGAAACTCTCTCAATGGTTGTTATATATCATCTTCATCAGTCCCCTGCCCATCTATTTTTCTCACTTCAGACGCATAATTGTTATGTATCTGAATGCTTTCCACATCTGATAGCCTTAGGAATAGCGTATTCCACGACACAACCTATCATTACCTTACATATCAGGGAGCGAGTGATTGATCATCCAGCAATCCGCACAGTTTTGTCAACTTGATTTTTGAGAAACCTTAATAGAGCCGTATGACTCGTAAGATAGAAAGCTTTTGAAGTTTGACGACAATGGATGTTAATATAGTTAAGACAGAAGGCAAGACTGTCGATATCGAGATGAAAACGAAACTGTGATTAATAGTGACTATTTCATATTTTTTTAGCCGATGCTCCGTAACTTGACTCGACTTACGCTTATTGTAGATGTTGAATTTGTGCGATAGTATCTTGTTGTTGTATGTTTTTTGCACATCTTTTTGAATATATTAGTAATGGGATTGATCGATTTGTGGCATTCAGAGCTGGTGAGAACTCAGTGATAACTACTGATTCTCTAACGAGAAGAAGATATAACTGTTGTGTTAGCTGACTAGAGATCAATTTTTCCTATCTATATGGTGTTTAGTCTCCGTTTGATATGACGATGAGCTGCTAATTTTATTCTGGAAAATTCATTTTTTGTATGGTGTTGAAACTGTCATGACTGCATTTCTATTGTCGCTACCATCATTATCAAAGTATACTTTAATATATCGAAAAACCTGTCGGACAAATATGTCAACGGCTGAAAGAGCATGGTGTTTTACAACCAATAACACCCATTCGAAATGAGATTCTTTGGTGAGCTGCTCGCAGCGCTGCGAACATTAGGATCTCTAAAGCATACTCTGTTAGCGATAGTTGTGATGATAGAAATAAAGTCATCAGAGTTCCAACATTATAAAACACGTAGATTTTTTGAAATAAAATCAACTATTCTTTGCCATATTAAAGAAACTAAACATCATATCGATTGGCAAAATTGGTCTCTAGTCAACACCCTGACATCATCTTCTCGTTAGAGAATCACGAGCTATCTCTGAATTTTCACTAGCTCTGCATACAACAACTCGATCAGTCCCATTGCTAATGTATTCAGAACGATGCGCGAATAGCATACAACAATAAGAAACCATCAGACAAAGTCAACACCTACAAGAAGCATAATGTTGCTGGTATATCGTTATATTTCTAAATACGTATCTGTACATTTCATCTACACTTCACACTATTGCGAAATGTCATTTCCAAATCATACTTAAATCCTCTGCTTAATCTAGTCTCATATATGTGTTGTTCTTATATATTTCTCCAGGTTGTCTCGCTCATATACTTCAAGGTCGTCATGTTTCTATTTTGCCTCTATAATATACTTATAGTATCGTTATGTCATTACGTTATAAAAAAATTATTAATTAATTTCTTATTGAGACCTATGTAGTTAATTAGTAACATCTTTGTGACTTCTCCTTAAAAATGTTGACAAATTTATCGAAACAACGGAAATATGAAAACTAATCTTTTTCTTGCAGCTATAAAATAAATTCAATTTCGTTTCCAATGATTGCTCATGAATTCAAACCAACTTAGACTAAACGAACAAAAGCTACTATAACTTTTACTTTTATTCATTCGAATGACATTCTTTGTTATGTCATAACCAACATGATCATTTAGTATAACAACAATAATTATATCGTTATTATGTCATTCTTATGTTTGATCAACTACAGTACAAATGTTCTTGTAATTAAGTCATTTGAATAGAATTTTTTTAACAAAGGTAAAAGAATATTTATTTCTCAAAAATTAAAAATTAAAAAGTTTCAATGAAATTTAAGTACAAACCAAATCTAATTAGTTACGATTAATACCAATCGATTTCAATATGAAACTATTCGTCAATATCATTTATAACATTTTATTTGCATAAAATATAAGGTCTGAAAAAATACACTTTTGTGTAAGGACAAGAGCGGATAAGGCCATTTTGCGCCCCCCCCCCGTCTCAGAACTCATTTATTTCTATCAGGTTTTAATAAGTATTCGATCCTGATCATACTTTTCAACTTTATTCCCCCAAAAATGACATTTATGGTTTTTGTCCCGGAGTCCCCCCAGGTATCATGAAAAAAAACATTCGTTCTTTTCGAGTCAAAACCAAGTGAAACTATAGATTCAAGGATGCTCATTACGAAAATCAAAATAAAACCACTAGAAAATGTGTTTTTCCTTAAATGGTCCTGACCACTCCAGATACCCTATTTTTGACTATTTGGAATCCTATGCAAGAGTCATTCTTTGAAATTTCACGGAAAATATTTTCTTCTATCTGAAATTTTGAGCATTTCACGAATCTCAACTTTTTAGGGCACAAAAGTGTGATCCTTAAAAAATAGATGGGGATTCTGGGGCAGAAATTAGCTCGTTTGTGTATATATTGATTTTTGTCCTCACGATTTTTCATGAATCAAGCCTTGCTGCTGTCTCAAATTTTGAACTTAGAGGTAACTTTACAAGCTCTATCNCCAGGGTTATCTAGGATCCTCTCTTATATGACCCGAACAATAGTATGTTTTATCCGTACAATAGGAGTGTATCGAAATGGGGTCCCCTCCCAGTTGATCGCACCCATATATATTCTCTTTTCATATAAGATAAGAGAATATATCTAGTGACGTCTGTTCTCGACGAAAGTTCTTTTTGAAAAATCTAAGCATGTTCAGAAAAAACTTTGAGTGAAGATTTTGTAACTTGGAGAATCCTTTACATAACACACTATTCAATATTTCAAAACACTTTATTAAATTGGAAATATTTGTAAATGGAAATGTATGCAGTGAGAACCTTTGTCCTTTTTTGTGTGACTTTACTAACGTAAGATTTTCAATATAAACTCAGCGATATAGAGATCTAACGGTTGCATTTTTCAGCATATTTAGAGTAGTTCAACATATATTTGATGCTTAAAAAATTAGCTCAAAATAAAGTTCAAATCTTAAGCTATATGTATATTTATTTTTAGAAAAATCACATTGCTAACGAATGAAATGAACAATATATAAAGTCGTTTTATTTTTTGTTTAATTTTTATAATTCAGTATACATTATCTTCCTATATTTATTTTCGTAGAATTAAGGAATATCACAATGTAAAGATTGAAAAACAAAGAATTTATATACTCTTTATATAACTATATGATCAGTGTTATATATAATATTAAGGTAATCTTATATCATCTCATACAAAAACTGTTTCGATGTAAACACTAATACGATAAGTTCATATAAATAATATCTACAAATAGATATTAGAATAAAGAATTGTAATCAAAAGAAAACAGTTAAGAAAATTGTTTCTTTAACGATCGTTTTTCATTTATGGATTATTATAAATTAGGATATTATAAAATTTTTAATAAATTAAAATAAGTAGGTAACTAATGCATTTGTTTTTCTTTAATCTTTGTCCTTTTATAAGAACTACCAATATATAGCATTTTTTCGATAGAGTATTTTGTTTTGAGAGAATTTTTTTTTCATTCGTTTCTTTTTTCAAAAAGTGATATGCAATTCACAAAACAACTTAAAATAAATATATGGCACATATCGAAAGTGGTTATAAGAAGTGTAGGATCTGTCGGTAAAACGAAAAGTTTCTTGTACTATTAATATAAATGAAAAGTCGTATTCTCTTTTTTCCTGGAACATTCAAAGAAAACAAAAGACAAATCAATTTACTTAATACACAAAAAAAAGTCATGTAAAAAACTAATCTTTATTATTCATTAATTTAATAGAACTGGTTTTCATTCCATAAAGTAATGTATTGTATAGCTACACAAAAGAATGAGTTATTTCGATGCTTTTTTTTTTTTTTATCAATCAATAAGTGGTAGAAGTTGTGTATGAAGTTTGGACTCGTATGCCTATAGAGAAACATTTCTTTATTCGAATTCCCAAATGAAAAAATTTCTCCAAACTTGAAAGATTTCCCAAACGTGCGTTGTCACATATAGGCTGATTTTGTATTTCTAATCATAGTGCTATTGTAAATAATACATTCAATAAAACACTGCATCATCAAATACAAACGAAAAAAAGAATTAAGATCACAGAAAGTTAAAGATGGAATAAATAATAAAAAACTAGAAAAAAGTAAAATATATATATGTATATTATACAAACTATGTGCAATGGAAAAATTTGATTTCATCACGAATAACAAGGTATACTTTTTTTTTTTTGTTAAAAGACCAATAATTTCTAGACTTTTTCTTAAATAATAAAGAAAATTAGACCATTGAAAAGTGAATAAAACGAAAATATCAAAACTTTGTTTTTTAATCAACGATGGCAAGTTTTACTAGACAATCCGTTTTTTTGTTTCGCTGCAATTGAAGTTTTTTTGAACTTGAAAAGAATTTTCAATTGATGAAAACGGATGCGTGAAAAATTATGTATATTTGATTTAGATTACAAGTTCAAGGAAACTTTTCAAAATATAAGTAAATAACATATGTTGACTTTCTAATTCACATCAATACTGCAATATATAAAGAAGTTTATATAACTTGAGCATAAAATAATCACAAATCAAATGTTGTTTCTAGCCATTAGTACTATAGTCGTTGTGAATCTGGAGTTCAATACACGAAGCTCAAGACGTCACTAAATTGTAATATCAGGATTGTGGTAGCTAAAGTGTCATTATTGACAATATTAACATGATGCCAATGTCTTTATATAATTTAGGTGCTGCTTAATTTACCATGGCTACCACATTGCATGATCCCGTTAGTAAGTTTTCGATCTACTTTTCCATATGCAAAAAAAAACCAAACTTATCCATTTTCTTCCTTCCATTTTTTATTCTACAAATATCACACTTCTAGTCATATGTTGGTTCATGTACCTATGATGATTTGTGCACATTTCTTCTAAATATATTGACTGAATTTCAACCTAACATTGTCTTCCATCATTGACTGTTTATGGGCATCGATTGTACATGTCGATTCAATATAAGTTCACAAGCACATGACATAAAAGATCACCGACTTATTAATCTGCTCAATACTTTACAAACACTAGCAATTTTCTTGACTTCTGGTAATTTCAATATAACGATTACAGTTAGAGACACCGATTCGTCAGTACCTACACCTTAGGATCTATTTAAAAAAAGATTTCCAAAATAGAAACCCTTTTGTCCGTGAAGTTTAAATTAATAAATTAAATCCTATGCTCAATTACAAAGATTTTGTCATGAAAAATTTTCTATGTATACACTTCATCTTGCTCTCTACTCAAAAGTAAAAAACAACTCCTGTATCCAATGAACATTCCAGATTAAATTAGTACATTTAACAAATGCTTTCCTCTTTTATTCCTACTCAAATTACATTACTATTACGATGTTCTTGGTGAATAACAAGTTTTCAATGTGTCAGAGTTCAGTTAACCATCAAACATGGCATATAAGGTGTTAGATTATTCATTCTTTATTTATTTCTTCTATCGATAATAAAAACTAACAATGCAAAATAAAATACAACTTTGTTATTTAAACGAAAGTATCAATCATCAAGAATTTACATGGACATTGATACTAATTGATAAATCACTAAAAATGACTGAATGAATTCAATTAAATAATAGATCGTTTATCTACATTGAAGGTGTCTTGTTAAATACGTAAAGAGCCATCCATAGCAAGAATAGAAACAAAAATTCATCAAACAAACCTTTTCAAATGTTACATTATACTCATAAAGTTTTTCAAAACCATTCAAAGAACAAGAGCATAATATTTCTCAATATGAAACATTCTCTTGACTTAGCTTGAATATCAACATTTAAAAATAAAAGCTTTATAAAAGAAAAAAAAAGAAATAAAACAACAAAAGAGATAATAATATTAAAATTATTTTTGCACCTGTATTGTTAATATCGCTGAATATAAAGAAGAAACAAAAGAAAACTGCTTTGCTTACTAATGCCTTTTCTGGTCACTACGAAACAGAAAAGCTTTCTTTTCACAAGGGTTTTTATATTAGCCTCACATTAGATTCAAAATTATGAAAAGATAAAACTTTGGTCCTCAACTCAGACTAAGAAATTTCAAAATACCATATAGTTCGTGAGAATTGGTTGGTATTCAAAATCAAATGAATTCTTCAGAGAATTAATATGTTCTTGAATTCACTTGACATTTGTGTTTTAGTCCATTAAAAAGTATAGTTTGAATACTTTAAATGACAACTCGCCAGTTAAATTTAGATGCCGTTATCAGTAGGTGTCGAATTTTCATGTCATCACAGTACTAGTCTATGTGTTTTTTTCGCATAGCTGCTGGAAAACTAGAGTTCACACAAAATCAAATTTTCACTAACTAATTGTAACAAAACTATTCAAGAAAATTGCATCTATCAATGCTAAACGATTTAATAAAGGAGCATGAAATGACTGTATTTCTGTAAGAACTAATATGAATTATTGATGATTAGTGACATCTATCTTATAAAGATAAATAAATAATGAATAAATGAAAAACAATGTAATATTACTAAAAATTGATTCAAATTAAAATCTATTTATATTAATTAGGGTATATATCAAGAAGATCTCGTTACTCATTTTGTGCAATCTAATTCAATTGGTTAAATTACAATGATTCTTCTTTGTCACAAATGATTCAACGTATATACAAATTATCGATTGATTGAACTGTCGCTATTTCTTTCTTCTGCATGTTCGTTCGTCTCGGCATTCGTTTCATTCATTTGTACATTTATTTGTTCTTGTTTTTCTCTTCTCTATCCGAAAAAATCGATACCCTATGACATCATCTAGCGCATCTATACCTCAATAGCTGCTCATTCAACCGACTCTCAATAGTCTATTCCTTTATTTTGTTATATCTAATTTCAAGGATCTCCTTCACTTTCTTTTCTTGTGTCTAGATGGCAACTGCCGCTGGTGTTGATGACAACGAATGGCAAAAATTGCCATGTGAAGAGAAAGTACAACACAAAGTATTGATAAAATAAATTAAAAATATTTAATTTTATTTGTTTGTTTTTCTTCCTCTTAAATTCCAGGCATGGAAAGCTCGTATGATTGGATATGAAGAATGTGCAAAATTATTTCGTACACAAGATTCAGATAAAAGTCCTGAATTTAGTAAATATCTTGGACTTGTTAAAAAGTTTGTTGTTGATCCAAATGAAAATGCTCGTGAAAAAGCACTTGATGCAATATTTGCTTTTGTCGAAGAAGCACAAGTAGCCGGAAAGTAAATCATTCTTATTCTATGCATTATATATGTTATATATAATATTTTGTCTATGTATGTAGAACTGTAGGCGAAGTAGCATCTGGTTTGATTAGTAAATGTTTAAATGGACGTGCTAAAATGAAAGAACGAGCATTTGATATTCTTTTAATGTATATTGAAATTGAAAAACAAGCAGATATTGAAGAAGAACTTATCAAAGGTTTTGAAAATAAACAACCAAAAATTGTTCAAGCTTGTCTTGAATTACTTCGACGTGGATTATCGTATGTTAAATATTTTATAATGAATTTGTATTTCATTTATTTTCTTTTTCTCTAAAAGAGAATTTGGTTCAAAAGTTCTTCCAATAAAACCTTTTCTTAAACAAGTTATTCCATTACTTGAAGATCGTGATAAAACTGTTCGTGATGAGGCTAAATTATTACTTGTTGAAGTTTATAAATGGATTGGTAAACAAACTATTATGCCAATGATACAAAATGTTAAACCTATTCAAGTATTTATTATTTTTAAAGATATTTTATTAATGTTTAATTGTTTTGTGTAATTTAGATGCAAGAATTACAAACTGAATTTGATAAATTAGATTTGAATGGTGCTGATAAACCACGACAAACACGTTTTCTTCGTTCACAACAAAATGTTAAACAAAAACAAGGACAAGCAGCTGCAAGCGGTGGTGGTGGTGCTGCTGCAATAGTTGTTGGTGATGAAGCGGAAGCCGAAGGTTTGAGTTTAGAAGAAAAAAAGGTTTATTTTAATTAGGCGCAAATCTCTTCTTTTTTTTTTTAGTACAAGAAGAAGCTGATCCACTTGAAATGTTAGAAGCTGCTAATGTTCTTGATCGTTTGCCAAAAGAATTCTTTGAAAAAATTGTAAATTTCAATATACTGATTACGTGTGAATTAATTGTTTTTTTTATTTAGGAATCAAAACAATGGAAAGATCGAAAAGAAGTTCTTGATGAGTTATTAACTTTATTAACACAAAATCCAAAATTAGCACCTGAAGCTGATTATTTCGAACTTATTAAAGCACTTTCAAAGGTTTGATAGACACAAAAAAGATAATTTCGTATTTGGCTATCGAATTCTATACATGATCTTTAGATTATTTCAAAAGATAGTAATATACCTGTTGTTCTTGTTACAGCTAAATGTATGACAGCATTAGCTAAAGGTTTAAGAAAAGCCTTCAAAAATTATACTATCAATGTAATTATTAATTTAGTTGCTGTTAAAAGAAAATGATTGACTCGAATTTTGATGAATTTTAGGTACTTGAAGTATGTTTTGATCGTTTTCGTGAAAAAAAACCAAATGTTATCGAAGCATTACGTGAAACATGTGAAGCTTCATATCCTGGAGTATGTTTCTTTTTTAGTTTTAGTTTTCTATTAAATATTTCGATTTAGACAAATCTTGAACAAATGTCCGAAATAGCTGTTGCTGCATTAGCACATAAAACACCTATTGTTCGACAATGTACACAACAATTTCTTACAAAATGTTTTGCTATGGCAACACAAACAACATTACCTAAGAAAGTTCTTAAAATTTATTTACCAGCATTAATTAAAGTAGAAAATATTTTATTTAAATTATAGTTAAATATATTTAAGAAAAAAAAAATGATTTCGAATTATAGAATACAGGTGAAGCAGATGCAGGTGTACGTGATAGTGCATTTGAAAGTCTTGGTATGTTATGGAAATGTCTTGGTGAAAAACATATTCTTCCACATGTAACTGACTTAGATGAACTTAAATTAACAAAAGTAAATATTAATTTTTGTTTTAAATAAAGACATTCGAATATTTATTTGTTTAGATAAAAGAATATGCTGAAAAATCGATTTTATTAAATGCACGTGGGGAACCTCGTCCACCACCGTCAGCTGCTCCACCACCAACAACAACAATGGTCAAAACGGTTAAAGGTGGTGGTGCTGTTGTTGTTAAACCAGAAGTTGTTGTGCCTGAAAAGGATGATGATGAAGAAGAAGCACCTACTCCATCGCCTCCAACTAAAGCAAGTACAGCTACTACTAAAAAGAAAACTGCGGCTGGTGCCAAAGCCGGAGCTGCTGCTGAAACAGCAGATGACAAGAAAAAAGATTCTAAAGCAAAGGTTAATATGCTTTCCTTTTTTTTTTACTGAAAGAAGAGAGCCAATTTTTCAGTTGGTTATTACAAAAATATACGTTGAGTTTAAAAAAAATGATTATATATGTCGCTTTCTTAGACAACTGTACCTCCATCTGGTAAAACTCCTCCAAATAATACTGCTGGTAATGCTGCTTCAACAACAGTCAAAGGTGGTCGACCGGGAGTTGCTCCTGGCAAAGGTCGACCAGCAACGGCTCCATCACCACCGAAACAACACATAGAAACTGAATTAGAATCAACAACAGCAGGACAACACGAAGATCATCAACGTCCTGCTACTGCACATCGTATTCAATCAAAAATCGAGAAAAAACAAGGCCAATTTCAATTAGCACTTGATGATGATCATATGGACGCTCTACGTTTGCCTGATCTCCTATCAAGTGAATTACCAAATGATTATGATCTTCCAGATTTACCACCACGAACGTACGTTTAATTTTTATTTTATTAATTAAAAAAAAAAAAACAGAAAAAAAACTGTTAGAATAATCCTCGTGGGATTAAAATGTGAAACACGATATAGTTGCTGTTATTAATCACAGGGATATTATTCTGTTCTATCTATTGTGGGACATATTTCTTCAACATTTTTTTTTTACTTAATCATCAAGAAATACAATACCGAAGTAGTTCATATATTATTGGATGATCGATAAGTTTTAAGACTAGATGTTTGTTCACTTTAGATCTTCTTGAAAGTATTTCCGATGAGTGAGAACCAGAATTTTGTGCTCTTTTCAAATATCGACTTAGAAATGTAGTATCTATTTTGTTTTTTCAAGAGTAAGAAAGAACTTTGTGAAAGACATGGAAAATTAATTTTACTCATGAGCCAATAGGTTGTTGTTTTCCATATAAGTCTCTTTTCGAACATGCTTAATAATTGTCAGCGTTGATTATTCTGTAGAGTAGATACTGCTCTAAAAAAATGCGATGTTGAATTGAGCTGTTGCTTTTATGCTAGTAAGACTACAAGTATTGTTTCAAAAGCTTTTTTCAATGTCGAACGGTTGTCAATTTTTCAAAAATAAATCATTAAGAAAAACGAATATTAAAATGCCTTGTGGAAATACAAAAATACAGATCCCAACTTTTTTTTTAATTGCGAATCGCAATAGTGACAACACAAAAAATTTTCTGTCCAAACTAATTTTTTAGACTTTTCAAAGATTATTTTACTATTGTCGAACAATATTTGTAAATCTATATACGAAAAGAGCAATGTTCGGTTCTAACTCATAGTTTTTGATATTTTTTAGTAGATCAAAAATGAATAAACATATTATCTATAAGTTTTCAGATCGTTCGTTATAATGAGACATTATTGAAATACAATTTGTGATCGTTTATTTACGTCTGTCATGTTCTATGAAGATCCAAATTTTTTACTCCTGTACTTCAGCACTCCTTTTACATCATGTTTCACAAAAACAATAATAATGACTAAATCTATCTGTTTATTTAGTGTACCAACAACATCCATACCAGTTTCATATTTAGCTTCATCATCTGATTGTCGTCAATCAATTGATCTTGTTATTGCACTTATAGCTGATCATGAGGTTGCAAATAGTTTATCATCATTAGCACAAATTGATGAAGTTCTTAATGATGCTAATAAATGTATATATCTTGAACAACATGTTGATAAACTCTTACGTATGCTTTCAATGAAATTACGTATTGCACAACAAAATCATTTATATGATTCATCATTACCTAGTGATAGTGTTGAACGTTTATTTCGTGGTATATTATCTGTTTTACTTGATCTTTTTTCACGTTCACATCTTGCTAAATTAGCAACACGTGATACATTAAAAGAATTACTTAATGTTCTATTGCCATTTGTTGTTGTAACAATAACACCAACAACAAATCATAGTCATAATTTAGCATCAAGAATTGATGCAGCATCAAATGAAGATTTTGTTCGTATTGTTAATGTTATTGTCTTGAAAATTTTACAAAATGCACATATGACTTATGTTTTAACAGCATTAATTCGTCTTCTAACAGAATGTTGTTTACCAAGTGATTTTTCTATTAATGATCCATTTGTTAAACTTGTACTTAAGGTAATTGAAATAGAACAATTGAAATTAAAAAACAAAAAAAAAACAATCCTCAGAAAAAATAATTCATATTTCTTTTTTGTTGAAACCACTCATGTTTTAAACTACAAATTTTATCACTAACATATTTTTCTACGACAAATCTGGAATAACAGCGAAATCAAAAAAATTAAACGTCTCTTAAAAAGTTCTTGCCACGGTTTTTTTCTTTCTGCTTGAAATGTCTGTCGATTATCAAATCATTCGGCCTAAATGTATGAAATTTCAATTAAAAAGAGGCTCGCTGAAAAACTATCAATATCAGCTTTGCTAAAAATATTAGATGCGTTATTGACATCTCAATAAAAAACATGATGGAAAAAATATAATCTTCGTAAAATAGATATTTCTCTCAAGAATATCAATCTTGATCTTCTGAAACCATGCGCATGAACTCATTTTTGTCGTGTTATTTATTTGAAATATGCGATATCTCAGAAGCTAAACAGAGACAGTATTTCAACAAATATTTTTTACCATTATAGAACCATCAGATAGTGACAACGACCAAAGTTTTCAATTTCATTCATGAATAGAAATGCACTGGTGACGATTTTCATCCGTGTACTGGTCTAAACATGCACATTTACAATAACCGTGAAGATGATAAATGCATGATAAAACTACGATAAGTTTAGATTGATTGTGGTTTTTTCAGTCGAGATAGGCCTATCATAATAAAGTAACTGAATATGATTAAACTATGAGAACTATGCTTTTTTTCGAACGAGAAAATCCAACTCAAGAATTTCGACCAACTATCTATAGATTCAAATTCTTGGGCCCTGTAAACCATTAGTCTTAGAGTATCCTGAAGAACCATCGAAAATGAGCGAGGATAAACAACTGATCCTTACTCAAACCGACATCCACATCCATGATGAATTGTCCGGTGAAGATTAAACTCGACTATTTTCTTGAAATAGACTATCTCCTATCGAAGCATTTGATATCAATCTAAAATTACCATATTGTTACCATGCATTCACCGTTGTCTAGATCACTGTAAAGTAGCACGTAAGATTGGTGCATCATCTTCGTTGCACTCCTATTCATAAAAGACAATATTTTGATATAAAAACAAAACGAACAAATTTTATTTCCAATATATCATTGAAAGAAAAACATTCTTTATGCTATAAAGATTATTATTCGACGTGTTTTTTTTTCCTATTTCCTTTTGCTATTAAAAATAACAACAAAAATAAAGATCCAAGTTGCTCTATGACGAAGTGGCAAGAACTTTCCTTTTACAGGCGTTTTTTCTACTTTCTATATTTGGCCTCGAAACATTTCTTTGATATAAAATTTGTAATTCAGATATTACTCCTTTCACAACAGGAAAAAATGGCTTGAATTGAAAATCATCAATATTAACTATTAATGTTTGACAATTTTTGCAAAGACTATGTATTGGATGTTTATGTTTAAAAACTTCTCTTTTTCTAGTGTCATTATCGTTTGGTTCGTATGTTTCCATTATCACTTAAAAATAATCCATCAGAAATCGATTCAACACAAATCTTAATTGAAATATCTTCCTTTCTTAAACAACTTCCATCACGTCGTTGGCAATTATCACCAAATAATGATTTTCCACTTCGTATAATAAAAACTTATCTTCAACAATTAGTTGATGAACGTCAACGTTCAATTCTGGATGATTTATCACGTATACCCAATGATCAGCAACCAATATCAGATGAAATGCGTCATTATATACATCGTAAATTAAAAGCAATAACTGTATCATCAACAAATAGTGAACAAGTAACTCAACAACATCAAGTTATGTTAAAAACAATTTTTCAAAAATTTGCTCGTCGTGAACAAGTTAAAGTTGGTCTAGAAGAATTATATGATTTTAAATTACGTTTTCCAAATGTTGATATTAATCCATTTTTGGCAACAACAGCTGATGCTTTTCAAAAATTTATTCATGAAGGCTTAGCACGTGTACATGCTCAACGTACAGCAGCAGCTGCTGCTACTGCTACACCACCAACAACAACAAATTTATCATCACCATCGTCAACTGTTCTTCGAGATAAAACACAAACAATAACATCTGTTCCAGCACAATCGTCACCAAATTCATTTTATTCACAGTATGATTTACATATGAGCGATTTCGGGCAAAACGAAGCATATCCATGTTTGTTTCTTTACAAGGGCTATTTTCCTGAACAAGTTCTTTTAGCATAAACATATATAAAAAAATTTATCTCTTTGAGTTATCTATTTATTAATTAAAAAATAATTAATGAATATTGTTTCTGACGAAGGGAAAATATATTTGAAAACTTCAGGATATACTCGATGGTATGAGCTATATCTATGGTGAAATTTTCAGGAAGATCGAAATCCAAAAACATTTCTTCATACGAACTGGTTTTCTAGAAGTTCTAACAAATTCCAAACAGATAGTATTGTCTTACTATCATCTAGAAGTTCTGAAGAAAGTTATGTACTGTTCGAAATGGGTTTTGAACTTTTCATTCGGTTAGACGAGCCTTTTGCTTTTTTTTCGTTTGTATATTTATACTCCGTTATATCGCTAACAAAAAGCGAATCAATTTCTTGGAAAAATCTACACATGCTCAGAAAAAAACTTTGAATAAAGATGTTGTAGCCTTAGGAGTTGTTTGAATTTAGTTTCTAAAAATGCTATCTTGATAACATGTAACATATTAAAATTAGCTCGAAGAAAGTTTGTTATTCCGAGATACAAGTGTTCTAATTTTGCGAAGTCACCGTCGCTAACGAACGATTTTGTTTTCATATTTATTTTTTCAGCAAAAAAATGGCTTTTGTTTTTGTATTCTTAAATTAAGATATGCACAAATTCATGAAGAAAAATTACGTCAATTAAAAGAACAATTTGTTTGGATTGATACATTACCAACAGCAACAAATATTGAACAACAAAAATCTATATCTGATGATGATTTTGTGACAATTTATAATAAACGTATGGCAGCTATAAAAGAAAAATTTCGTGACCAACTTGGTAATACATTTGCATCATCATCGACACCAATTGATCCTCAAGTTTATGCACAACATCTTTCTCAAATGCGACAACAGTGTGGTCTTGCTGCAACACCAATTACAACAGGACAGGTAAATTTTGTTTTGTGTTTATTTATTTATTTATTTTCTATCTTCAATACGTTTTTTATTATTTAGGATCCATTTGATGCTGAGGTTTGCTTTTTTGTTTTTTTTTCTGTCTGTTTATTCTATATAAAAAATATGTTCTTATGAATTTGATTTAGGTCGAATCTCGTTTCAATAATGGTGGTACAGCCGCTACTAGTACGACTGACATAAACACTCGATTAACAGTTGGACGATCAAATAAAATATCTGAGCCTCAAATAGAACCATCTCCATCATTGTCAGCTCCTATGGATTCATCGACACAACGTACACGTGAACTACTTCGTCAACGACTTGAACGTGTTAAACAAGGCATCATTGAGTGATCTGTATTGTATATAAATATTTCATGACACTCTTCTATTCTATTTTTACATAATTCAATTTTTTGGCTTGATACAACAGACACGTACACATATATATATACACATATATGCACAACATAAAATGATCTCATCTTGCTCTCTTTCTGTTCGATATTATTTACTAATATTCACTTCTATTTGTCTTATGAAGAAAGTTTTCTTTTTCTTTTTTTATTGTCATCTTCTCCTGTTAGCAATAAATTCTTAGGAGGATGTGTGCGCTCAAATATTCTAAAAAAGAATCACTAATAGTAATATGCAAGTTTATGATTCAATCATTTTCAACTTTTCTATAAAATGAGCTTATTTATTTATGCCACCTTAATCCATTGATGATGTAAGTAAATAACTATTAGTTAAATGAAGGAATTCAAACAAGAAAATTTATAATAATATCAATAAATCAATTGAGTTTATCTTTTCGTTCTTCTTTTTTTACATATTGAGATGGTCAAGCATTATGGAATTTTATTTTTACAAATTGTAACACTTATACTCTCTGAATAATAAATGAAGATTCTTTGATATTTTCATTATAGATACAAACTATTTAAATCTACTATCATTTAAAATTTAATTGATTTCTCTTCAGTCAAAGCTACGTTATTCAAACAAATATCAATCATAATGGAGTTTGTTTTTAAAGACAAGATAAAAGTTTAGCATTTGACTGTAAAACAAAGGGATATACACATAACCCATTGAGTATCATTGCTCAATCATGATGGCTAGGAGCTTTCAAAAAATTTGTGATCATTATTATCAGCAAGTACTGATCATCCAAAATGTTTAGACTGCTTTTCATGAATGGCTTATGTGATATAAACTTTTCATTTCTTTTACCATAAAAGGCTCATAATTCTTGAATCAAGAATGATGAAGACCTTCTTTTTATTGAAATATAATCTCGACTCATCTCTATCTACATTATGAAACTAACGTATTAGTTCTTAATAGTTTCTGAAATACAGTTATTTTATGATCGAGCATAATTTTTGAAGTTTGAGGCTCTCTTCCAAAAAAATTCAAACCTCAACTGAGGAATATTACTTTTATTTCAAAATTACACGTCACACTCTAGAATGACTTTCGATTATTTACACAAATTACGAAAGTTAACTAGTATAACAGTATTCGAAAAAATTCATTGAAAATAAACACATACTTGGAACATACATAATGAGATGAAGATGAGAAACTAAGAATTGTTCATTCTACTATGTCTCCTGTAGTTAATGTCTATCGTAATCATGTAAAAATATTATAATTAAAATGTAGAGGAAATATTCATAGGTTAAATATTGTCAAAATAACTTCACACACATCCAAATCCAAAGTCATTTCATTTATTTGGCATCAAGGTTGATTAAATTTCGTGCTAGATCATCTTTTTTTTTGCCACAACAGAAGAAAAATCATTGAGGATCTCGGCGTGATACGGTAGAAAACAAGATCCACACACTTATTGCTACATCTAAAAGAATATAATTCAACGTTAATCATGTGCTAATGATATTCTCAGAAATATTCTTTTAAACGGATATCTTTCAATAATTCTAACTTTTAATTCTCGAATTTTTGAATATTTTTTCTTTCAAGTAGAATTTACAGAATCAGAAATTCATCACTAATAGTATTAAAAAGTAATACAAATTTTCGAAAATAATCTAAATTTTTATTAGTACTCTCATCATTAGTTAGTAACAAATGCATCGTTCTTTTTTTTTTTAAATAATCTCATCATAATTAATAAAGAAAATTACTGATATTCTAGAAAACTGTCGATATAAAAATTTTAAAACATATGAAGAATTCATGTTTTCTTTTTTTCGAAATTTCTAACAAAATTTCTCTATATCAAAATTTGTCAGTGTGGCTCCATGAGAACTAAAGTGCGGTACTCACAAATTGGGATTGTTATAAATTTATGGTCTATTATCAGAGAGGTTAAAATAATTTATTTAAAAAAGAAATCAAATAAATTATGTCTTAATGTTGATATGCGCGCTTTGAAATTTTGCCATTTCAAAAATATTTTCATTTAAAATTACTATTCTACCAATTTATTAGATTCATTTAACATAGTTATACTGAGAAATATTTATTTGTATGGTCCGATACATCTATAATTAGCCTGGTTGACAAAAATTGAGTTAATTGCTTAGCACACTTTCGATCACATCGTCTTGTCTCTCGATGAACTTTTACATATACTTTTCACTCTTCATCACCCTACTGATTAACACCTACAATAAGGTCCTTTCACTGCATTAAATACCACAAATGAATAATCTCTAGACTACTGTCGCCGCCAAAATACGATGAACGCGAGTATTTTTTGAATATCTCGAGAACGGAAGCAGCTATCAACCTGCGGTTTTCAGCATTTGAAACACAAATGTGGGGGAAATAAACTGATACCAAACCCATTAGGATCGCAGGATTTTTTAGGGTCTCTGGAAACCTGGACTTAAGTCGGACTTTGGCGATCCAAAATTTTTCAATAAGTTTTCGAGTTTTAGACATGGATTATATCGAGGATATGCTTCTCTTCATTTCCTGTAAGTTTGANAACTTATTGAAAAATTTTGGATCGCCAAAGTCCGACTTAAGTCCAGGTTTCCAGAGACCCTAAAAAATCCTGCGATCCTAATGGGTTTGGTATCAGTTTATTTCCCCCACATTTGTGTTTCAAATGCTGAAAACCGCAGGTTGATAGCTGCTTCCGTTCTCGAGATATTCAAAAAATACTCGCGTTCATCGTATTTTGCCGTCGATAGTAGTTAGAATCTATAGTAGAAACCTTAGATTCATTGAATATTTCGAAAGGTTCTAGAAAACTCTCGAATGATCTAAGCGTTGTTATTAGTGACAAGCTTTTTTGCGTTGCTGGGAAAACATACCCAATGGTTGTTGACTTTCTTCTTCCAGTTTTGGTTGCTATGTCCTAGAGATAGAAGCCGCAAGAACCTCAATTTAAACTTACAATCACTATTTTCCTCGAAGATATATGTGAGTTTGATAAAATAGTTCTACAAAAGTATTTGATCATTCTATAAAGATCAAACCATATCAATACCAATTGACCTTTTATAAATGTATTCGATACTTCATTAAATCAATATTTGTGTAATCTAATTAGAAACAAATATTTTTTTAAATAATAAATTATTCGACTATCTCTGTTTTTTTTTTTTTATTAAAAAATAATACGTAATAAAAAATTTCGTTTATGAAATGATTTCCAATAAACATATTTATATGGTTTTACAATAACTAATAAAAACAAAACACAAATTATTAATATGATAATCATGTCAAAATTTTTAAATAAACTTTTTGATGATTTCTGTTGAATTTTATTTCCATGAATAAGATAAGTATTTGGATTATCATATAAAAATTCTTCATTTGTTTCATTACAACCTGAATGCCAACAATTTTGAATAAAATCTGAAAATTGAAATTTGTGCCAAAATGTTTTTCCTTTATTTATATTCTTCAATAAATATAAAAATAAATCAAGGTCATAGCCAACTGATTTTTTCGAATTAAATCGATATTCATATCGAACACATTCAAGAAATTGAATAAAACTTGATGATAAATGATACAATGCATTTCCATTTATATGAAGAAAACGTTGTCCAATTGATTCAAAACCACGATAAATCGATCCTATCATCCACCATTGTGTTGCAATATATGATTCTCTATCTCGACCATTGATTATTTGTTCAACAATGGCATCTACCCAATATGAACGAATTGGTCGTGTATCAGGTTCCATAAGAAAAAAATGCGTATAACCATAATAACGTAATGAGATATTGCTAAATTGTTCATCGATAAATAATTTTTTCCACATAACAGCACTACCAATCGGATATTGATTCTCTGCTTTCGATAAATCTGCAGCAAAAATTCGAATATTTTTAAAACAGTTATTTTGATAATTTATTTGATGAGTTTGATTATCTAATAGTGAGAATATTTTTTCATTATGATATAATATTAGATCAATAGAATTTAATTGATTTCGACATGGTGAATAAATTTGTTTAAAATTTAATTGATGAATTAAATTATTAAATTGATTTTGAATAAATGGAATAACAATAGCAAGATAGAATTGTTTTCGAATTGAATCAATATAATTATATTTACCATGATTATAATGATTAAAAAGAGTGTTATTTACAAAAAAAAATTCATTTTTAACATTTATTATTGGAATATTTTCTTTTCGTTGATATGTTGATGAGACAATTTCAATATTTTGATATAGTTTTAGTAGTTTTTGTTGTCCAGTAGTCAAACCCATATCACGTACAATTAGCTGACCATTGTCAGGTGCATATCGATGGAATGAACCAATTAAGTTTTCAAGATCCATAAATTGAGATGAATTGCAACTTGTTTCATATTGTAATAAAAATGAATTCACTAATGAAATTATGTTAAGAATTAAAACATACAAAAAAAGCATTTCAAAATTAAATTATTTATCAAATCGATGTCTATTGGACATATCTAAACAATATATATAATAATATAAATTAGATTATGTTGACACAAATTATTATTTCTTCTAGAAATTAACGTATACTATTGAAATTTCAACTTGATTTAGTCTATGATATTACAGAACGATATTCTCTCCGTAGTTACAAATATATACAGGAAACAATTGTTTTCCATTTCTACTTCGAAATTTGCAACAGTTGTTCAACTGAATTAAAACAACAATGAGAAAAATTCTTTTTTACGATTGTTGTCTAACAACTGTAGGTCTTTGTTAACAATTAAATATGAACACTAAAGGAAAATCTATTAGCGAAATCCCTGCAGGATTAAAATGTAAAATATGATGTAGCTATTGTTACTAATCACAGGGAAATTGTTTCCGTCTATCTATTTTGGAACATATTTCTTCAACATCCTTTTACTTAATCCTCCAGATATTGCAATAAGACAGTAGTTCATGTATTCGTTCTTCTCCTCTTAGACCTAGTGATCGGACGCATCACTAATTCTTATTTATTTACTTCTCTCATACTCAGTATATATACTAACACGTGTATGTACACGTGAGCATTAATTATAAAATTATAATTTTATAATATAATTTAATATTAACAATAACAAACACCTAATATGATCGTGAATCAAAAAATGGACAGATCCGAAAGAAAAAATTGTTGGATTAGATGGAGTTAACCAAGACCAAAACCGAGCCGCTCTTTCAAAAACGGAGTCGAACTGAACTGAATCCGAACCGAATCGAAATCGATCCCACTTCTAAAAAAAAACTACCCATATAGTAGTGACCAATCTATATTTACAAAAATTTATTGAACTCAGAAATAAACAGTTAATGAATTAAATTTAAAATAAATTTAAAATTAGTAATAATTTTAGTGTAGATTAAATGAAGAGAAAAATTCCATGCCTATCAGGGACTGAAAATGAATCGAACCGAACCCGAATCAGTAAAACTCGGTTTGATTTTATCTCTGATATGCATTATGGGATAGAATGATTACACTGTATTCATACTATCTCGTGAGAAGTCATTTCTGTATTATTTATATAATTATCGACTAAAACTTAAAAAACATTTAGATACAGCTCCCGAAACGTTAGAATATCAACAAACTTGGGAGATCCATCTCATAGTAACATCTTCAAACCGGGTTTATTATAAATCAATGGGTTTTTAGAAAAAAACAATATTTTTCCTAATCATTTAGCAATAAGGCAGAAAATATGAACTTAGACCTCATCACATTCTTCTGTATACATGAGGGTCAACGTCACATTTTCAGAAGATCATCCTCTGTGTCAGAACGATTTGTATATAAATATCTATATCCTCCATAAATTTTCTAACGACATGTGACATGTTTAATAAAATACAGTAACTCGATATTTATTCAACAAATACCACTTATTTATAACTAAATCTTTTTTCTCTTTGTCTTACTCTCTGACTTCCCTTTAAAAATCATATAATAGTTATTTTCCTATTTTCTACACTCTTATAACATGTCCCGAGGAGAAGATGGCAGCTGCAAAATAAGTTGAAATAAAAACAGGCTATCTATTCTTGTCGTATTTTTTTAATGCGTCTTTGTCTGTTAAATCTTACGAGAAACAAGAAACTTAAATGCAAAAAAAGACTAGTTCATATATTATAATGAAACGTGATTGATATATGATCTTTGACGTTGATCGTATATCAACAACATCTGCCATGCCTGTGATGACTAACTGCTAAGATGCCTGTGAGATGTGGAAAGGATGAGGAAGGTTCCAATTTTTACTTCTGTACATCGATGCTCCTTTTAGATCATGTTTCAAAAAAGATTTAGTGACAAGATTTCATGTACTCGTTTCTCATAAGAGATGAAGAGAAAAAAGTCTCGCTTTGAATTTGAGTTGAAGAAAAAAAGTAAAAACTAAAAGACGTCGCAGCGGCCTATGTCTCGAAATCAGAAAAATAGGCAGAATGAAACTTGAGGAACAATCCGAAAATTTGATAAAAGTCAGTACATTATCAGGCTTATTATGATGCTGTTGTTCAGAATGAAATCTGTATAAAAGCAAATCATTTAATGCTTATTTATTGAAATCACACTGTATATTTCTTCGATAAAAGTCAAGACTGAACAAGAGAAAGTCAACAATGTAATAACATAATCTTGCTTTGCATGCACACTTGAAATCCTGCTTTTCTTTTCGTTCTATTTCGCTCTCATTATGTATTATGTTTGTGCTCTCTCTCGTCATCGGGGATGTGGCATTGGAGAAGAGGAAAGAGGCGAAGTGTACTACTTAATTTGAGAGAGTTTTCAGTTTTTTCGGGCGAAATCTCATTTTTACCAGATAAAAGAGCGTAAAATGAAAAAAGAAAGTTCAGCACTTCTGCACTTTTTTAAAATTTGTTTATGTACGTTTTCAGCAATCAAAAAATTGCCTTGCACCCCATCCCATTTCACTTTTTCTCTCAGACTTAGTCTTGATCTGCACACATAAAACTACGATGTTATAAATATTTGTCTCTGAAAAAAATGTGCTGCTTCAATTAGACATTTTCAAAAACTGAAAAATACAACACTGAGAATGTGGAGTGTGGTCATAGACGTACCTGTGTGTGTAAGTATGAATTCTTGCTTCAACTTGGCTCACACCCACACTCCAAATTTCACTCTAAGCCTAAGAGCGAAATAACGGTATGTTAATCATGAGAATAAAAGTACCGTCGATTTCAAATAGAAGAACTTTGTAGAGAAAGCAATTCTCTACAAATTTCCAATGTTAACAAAAAGTTTTTATGCCATCTTTGATGCTCAAATGAAAGAATAGAGGGAGCACTATGCATGATTGGTACACATAAGAATCTAACAAGTCAATTTTCTAAGATAGAATAACTGTGAAAACAGCCTCTCTGGTGCAGTTTGTAACGCTCTTTCTAATGGTGTATTCAAAATTGATATTGGCTGAGAATTAGAGGAGAAAATTGCATTTTGTCAAAAACCTTCGATATACTTTAAAAATCACTCTTATTCACTCTTTTCTGAAAAGAAGCTGCAATAAAAAGTAGTCTACTGTGTAGAGCACAATTTACTCTTCAGAATGGTGTGTCAAAAAGAAAATTTTACCTTAAAATTGGCGCGCACTGAATTATGAAGAACAAGTGGTTGATCAATTTTGGAACAATGAAAAAAGGCATTTCGTGATTGTGTTGCTAATTACAACTGAATATATCAATAGATTGACTTCAAATTTTGTATACGTAGACTACAGACCATGAACTAGTATTTGACAAAAACCAGACAGTTCTAGCTTATTTAGCTTCTGAGGTATGAACAAAACAAAAAAATTGATTAAGGTGGTTGATCAATTTTGGTACCCACTGTATGTAAATTAGAGTTAAACAAATGAGAAAGCTTATAAAACAGAAATACGCCAAAGCATCAAGTGTCATTAGTCTCAATAGTTATTCAAGTATTTCTTTTGATTGTACTTGTCACATAGTTAGAGAAAAAGCATGCATCTTTTTTGAAAAATATTGTCTGATTGTTGAGGCACCAGACATTTTCGATAGAATGATAAGAGAAAATTAATATAAATGGTTTCGTATTCTGAGTTTTTTTACAGTCAAAACTTCATTTCCGAAAGCAATACATGTCATATTCAGAATGAGTGCAAAAATCTGTATCGAATAGTATACTTAACATTTAAAACTAGTTTTCATGAAATTTCGTTCCTCACATCTGCTCATTGTTATTTTCGAATAAAATGACCTACGATTCTCCTAAGGCTAAAATGTGACAAAAAATAGTCTTGAGTGTTAAGTATACTAACTCTAATTTACATACGTTTCATTACAAAAATTTCGTCTGAATATATTAAAAACAGCATACATATAGAAAATGTGACAAGTTCTATTCGACCATAACAAGAAAAGCACTAGTAAAACTTTTGCTGAATTTTCTAATTGATGGCGCCTGAAAAAATTAAAATTCTTATTTTTAGTCCTAGAAGTGCACTTTTGAAAAAAAAAGTCTTATTTCTCAACAAAGAAACAAGGTTGGTCAAAACCCATGTTTAGATTTTCTCGTATATATACACTGATTATATGTAAGCAAAAAGAATCATTTAAATATGTGTCTATCGAGAGTTTATGTCTTTGGAAGGTATTCCCATTGAAGCTTATCAGACTTCTCTGTAGGTTTATTCATGATAGTATTGATTATTCAATTGCTTTATCTTCTAAGTCAATCTTAAATTTTTTTTTACACATTAAACCTTGCCGAGAGTTTTGAATAAAATATTGTGAGAAGACGAAAACAATGTTAAATTTAAGAACATGACATTAATCTATTCGTATTTCCAACAGCAATGTCACTTTTAGACTATTTTGAGTATAATAGTATTCTTGAAAGTTTTTACACAAATTTCGACCTGAAAATGTTAAAAACGACCTTTATGGAGATAATTCGACGAACTTCATCGAATCGTGAGAAAAGATCGAAAAAACACTTTGCTTAAATTTTCATTCGCCGGTACCTTATATAAACCTGAGAGAAACATTGAATATAACATAATAACACGTCATAATGATTTATATATGGTTCTACAGAGACGGATCATGAAATATTATGACAAAATCAGAATTTTTAGTCAAAAACAGAAAAAACAAGATGTCAAAAAACAGTCAGAAAAAAAATGAGAAAAGTAGTATCGTTGCGAGGTCTGAACTAGAGATATGACTATTAGTAATTTATACTAACATGCAACTTTTCAAACCATTTCTGACGAGTATTGTTCACTAAAATTTACTTTGTATGAGTAATAGAAAACAAAAACTATCAAATCGTATTCATTCATACAAAAATCCACAACAGCATTTCAGTAAGTCATTGGAGTATAATTAAAACAGCTTCATGAATGTATTCGTCTAACACAATCGCTTCAAAATATATTTGAAAAATCTCAAAACGAGAAAAATATGTAAAAGTATCGATCAACGTTTCAATAGCTATATTAATAGTTCTATAACATTTATTATATGCTCAATAACATGTATAAATAAAAAAAAATGAGTCATTTATTGATATATAATCTAAATGTCTTTCTACGAGTTTTGATTAGATTATGACCAAACATCTACAAAATAAAACATGACTTTCTGCGAAATAATGAATAAGAAGGCATGATTTTGAAATCAGCCTACGTCAAACTTTGGAAGTATTAACTACAGATTTATGGGTTATTTTCTGTCTAATTATAACAAAATACATGGTTGTTGATATAAAAAAAAGTCTATTATACTTTTACATCTTATCAGTGTACCACTTTACTGTCGCAAGTCCAGAGCAGATGATAAAAGAAGTATATTTTGCTGATGTATTAGTTCGATTTTTCAAATTTTTAATCTATTCCGAATAGAAATTAGCAGAAAACTATTTGGATTATACAGAAACAAATGAGTCTTTCTTTTTTTTTTATGAATGTTAGTGAATATACAGGGTGTTTCATAAGTTTTGAGGCTTGACAAAAATTAATACATACGCAAACAAAGAGTGATCTCAGACGAAAGGTATTTATATAAAGTTTGAGTACTCCTGACGCCCTTTCAAATGATGTATGATTAGATGAGATCTCATTTTGTAATAATAAAAATATACGCATGAGAATGTTGAGATAAATTTTTCCAAATCGACCAACAAGATATTTTATTAAAAAAAGGAAAACACTCTTACTNTTTTATATTTAGAGATGCTTAGTTTCTGGTGTTTTCTCTTCATTAAATTCATCCTGGAAAAATGTGTCTTATATAAAATTTAGAGTTCAAATATTACTTTTTCTAACAAAAAGAAAATTGCATTGGTTCAGAAGTTGGCAATATGGTCTAACAGAATTTGATCTTATTTTCCATCTTTTATTAGATTTTGCAGCGCTACAATAAGGAATTATGAATAAATGAGAAAAAAAATTTCAAGTTATCGATTTAGTTCGAAATCCACATTTTTCTAATATCCTTCGCTACTGAAAAATGTTAAAAACTAATAAATGATTCCGTAAAATAAGATTTTTTCCAGCAATTGAAGTTAGTCAAAACTGCATATTTTATGTTCAATGAGAGTTTAATGAGTCCAATACAGGTGCACAGTATATGAAGCCGAATATTAGACATTATGAGAAATACTTCATTGGACGTTATAAGAAGAATGTCAAGTTTTGAATAAAATTGTTTCTTATGGAATCTGTGATTTTGTAATTCGAATATTTTAATATCACTAGAAAGCCCACGTCGTATTGGTTACACCCACACATAACGTCTTTAAAAATTTCGAAAGCCGAGTGCAAAAAAAAAAAAAAGATCAAATGCACTCTACATAACCATTTTTGTGTGAATATGCAAGGCACTTTTCAGTTTTCGATAAAAGTCTTTGAACGAAATATCTTTATACAGTTTTACTCATTCTAACAAGAAAACTATCGAGTCGCCACGATGAGTTCTTGTCACGCTATACTGAAAACAATATTAATGTTGAACTTTTGCATCATTCATCATTTTTGTTTATCAAAGTAATTCTATTCTAAGATTCATATTTATCATGAAAAATGTTATCTTTATTCAATACAAATAAAGAATAATTTTAGATTGAAATTATTTTAATGGAATTCTTTTTATTTTTGTTTTATGTTAAATAATAATTTTTAACACAAATTCATCATTAAGATTTATTTGCATCGCCTTGTTGTTCTTTGTAATGGTTAAGAACACGTGCTGATGGATCTGTTTGGTCACCACACCATTTTGGAAGCCACATATATGGTGTAAGATGTTGTTGACCAGGATAATATTTGTCAAATATTGAACTAATTATAAAAGAAAATTCAATAAAATGAAAAAATATTTTTTGGAAAAAATTCTACCGATATAAAAATGCTTCTTTAGTCTTTGGTGTATTGGTTGGATATAAAGTAGAAGCACGTTGAAGATCAGCATCAGAGACTTGTGTTTCAGCATATTCTTGCATGTATTGAAAAAGTGATTTTTTCTTCGCAGCAACACCATCCGAAAAAGCTTCTTTTGGTCGCCAAAGAATTTCTGATGGTATCAAATCAAGATCATCAAATGCTTTTCTATTATTTAAAAATGAAAATAAAAAATAAGAGTTCATAATTTAAAATAGAATATAAAGTGTAAATTTTACCTTAAAAGATATTTTTCAGCTCGTTCTTTTGTTGGTGCTCGTTCACTTGCTGGTAATGAAAGATAATAAGATGTAAATGCATGATCGAGAAATGGTACACGTAATTCAAGTCCATGTGCAGCTGTTGTACGATCAGCACGAAGTACATCATAGAGATAAAGATCTTGACAAAGACGACGACTTTCTTTATCACCTTCTTCTGGTGTTGGTTGTCGATAAAAATAAATATAACCTTGACAAACTTCATCAGCGCCTTCGCCAGATAAAATAACAACAGTATCAGTTTTTTCTTGAATATATTTTGATACAAAATACATTCCAATTGATGCTCGAATTGTTGTTATATCATATGATTCAAGTGACTTGATTATATTTTTTAAATAATTTATTGCATCATCAGCTGTAAAACGTATTTCATGATGTTCAGTACCTAAATGTTTTGCTACCTAAATTTAATTTAATTTTAATGTATTAATTTAAAATAGAAAATTTAATTTACTTTTCGTGCAGCAATTAAATCAGGACTTTCTTCATCCATTCCAATAGAAAATGTTTGAATTGGATAAGTAATACCTTGTTTTCGAGCTTCTTGTACAGTTAAAGCAGCAATTAAACTTGAATCAAGACCACCTGATAACATACAACCAATACGTCGATGTGACATTAAACGCATTTGAACGGCATTGGTAAGATATGAACGAATATTTAATGATATATCATCTTGAATAAATACGAATATTGTTATTAAAAGATTATTTTAATGAAAATTGTTTTTACCTGTTAAAGTAACATTAACATCATATTTTGGAAATGTTCCAATACAATGAAAACGTTCCTTTTTAATAAATTCAACTTTTTCATTCTCATCTAATTTATATTCTTCATATGTACCAGGTTCGAAAGCTTCAGCTTTTAATTGTTGATTTGATGCTACTGTTAAACCTTCAAGTCCTAGAAATATGAAACAAATATTTGATTAGTGAAAAACAAAATCTTTGGAAAAATAAAATTAAACCTTTGGCTTCGGATGAAACAGCTAAAAATCCACATTCAGTAAAGATACGAAAAGAAGGTCGAACACCAAATGTATCTCGACCAACAAATATTTTTCGTTCTTTTGTATCAAACAATACAAAAGCAAAAACACCATAAAGTTGTTCACACATAAAACGTGCACCTTTATCATTATATAAATGAATTAAAATTTCTCCATCACATGATGTTTCAAATTGATAACCAAATTTTTTTTGTGTCTAATTAATAAATTTATTGAAGAAAAATAAAAATTCTTTTTTTTCTCTATTGATTTTTACCTGTCGGAAATTATAAATTTCACCGTTATAAATCTAAATAAATAAAAACAACAAACAAAAAGAAAAATCTTTTTTTTTTCAAGAAACAAATTTTCAAAACCAACCATCCATATGTGTGGTAGTGCATGAATACGCATTGGTTGCATGCCATAAATATCATCAACAATTGCTAAACGGTGAAAACCAAAAACACATCTTGAAAAATGATTAACATTCTCAAATCGAAAACAATCAGGACCACGATGAGCGATATTAAAACATCCTGGAATTTGTTGATGAGTATCAACTGTTGAACCAAATATGCACCAAATTCCACACATATCAAGTCTACAAAAAGAAAAGTACAAAGTTTATGAAGACTATTTATTATTCTTCGTATGGCGTTAGACTGCAAGAGTACAACCACTAGTGCGAAGTATTGCATCAGATGGACAAAAATCGTACGATTCTCTTTTTTCTTTTCTTTCTTTCTGTTAATATAATGCGTCGACTATCTCGGCGCCTAGTATGAGACGCTTAATTTCAAGTGCAAGAATAGAAAAGAAAAAAAATATATAAATAAAACTAAGCACTTTGAATCCTACGCAATAGAATATCTTCTTGTGGTCCATATTACGTGATTAATCAGTAGGAAATAAGCATATTTCAATTTGCGACTTATATTACAAACAAGTTTCATAAAATCAGTTTTCTATTCATATATATTTCTTATGTACTATAAAAAAATGATTTTGTTTTTTATTGAAACTATAAGAAGAAGAGTCGAGGTATAAAACTCACTCATCTGTGTGACAGTTACACAGCTAAATTTCAACATTCCGCTTATTAATGTAATTTTCGTTTTCAATACTATTTCTCATGAAGAACAAAAATTAAATTAATGTTTTTTTTCCTAACATATTTGTTCGATTAACAGAGATGACTAAAGAAAGAAAAAAAGATTTCGAATTATTGTCTATATGTTCCAAATTATTTGATCATTTTCTCGATAACCCACGTAATGAATAATTTAATTTAATTTAATTTAATTTAATTTATGCTCCTCATAGTTAGAAAGTCACAATTATTTTATGTTTTCGAAATCAAGAGTAATATAAATATACAATAGATGTCGAGAAAAACTTACTAGTTATATTATAAACATAATCGTTCGAGCAGAATGGCCGTTATCGATAAAACACGGAATATCTATCGTTATTTGATCCATGTATTTTACTATGCTTAATCATCCAAATGTAGAATAGACAATTATAAATTGTATGAAAAATAATAAAGAAAAACATACAGAAGAAGTTTCAATGGAATTTATTAATTAAACATATAATCAGACAATAAATTTACTGTTTACATATATACAAAATAGAATCATACAGAACTTCGTCTGATTGTGTACATCATGTTAAGTGAAGATGTTGATTCAGATACTTTTATTGATTTATTTAATCCATATCGTTGTTGTTTTTTCCATCTTGCACGTTTCTTTCTTGCTTGTCTCCATTCACTAAATGTTTCCATACATGTACATGAACATACAGATGTTTGACTGGAATTCAATAATAATTGTTGTTGTTGACTTGCTGTCATTTCAGCCATAACTGGTGTTGTTGAACGTTGTTTTCCCGTATTAGTTGAACAGATAACATCGCCTTTAAGTAAAACAGCTTGATTAGCTGCTTCTTCTTGACGAAGTCTTTCAAGTAAACGTTCTTGAGAATAAAATGCAACAATACGTATAACGAGTAAATTCATTGATGATGCAAGAACAGTAAGACCAAGAAAAATAAATGCCATACAGAAAAAAAAATATTCAGCATGATAGATAAAATCTTTATCACGATGATTATTTTGCTATATTAAGAAAATAAGGAGAATTATAGAATGAAAATTATAATAAAGAACAAAGAAAAAAACAAATGACTTACTAAAACAACATAATCACCAAAGCCAATAGTTGTTAATGTTATAAAACCATAATAAAATGAATCAAAAAAAGACCATTGTTCATATTTAGAAAAAACAAATGCACCTATAACTAGAATAACTATTGATAATAATGATTCTGTTATAAGTAATTCTCCATCAGTTATTTTAGTTTGTCTCATATTTAGTGAATGTTTAAGTCGAGCAAGAACATAACTTAAGAGTGAATTTAGTCTTTCGCCTGTAGATTGAAATGTTATTAACCACATAGGTATACCTAACATAGCATAAAAAATACAAAAAATTTTTCCACGTGATGTTATTAATTGTCGATGACCATAACCAATAAGAGCTAAGACAACAGTTGAAAAATAAAAACTATCATAAAATTTCCATTTATGACGAACAATGGTTTTATTCATAATTAAATCAGATAATTGACGAAATGTTTCATTAGTCATATTATGATCAAGTTTAAATTGAGCAAATCTTCGTTCGAAACGATTCTTTCTAAAAAAAAAAAAAAAAAAAAAAAAAAAAGAATATATCATTCTTTTTGTTTATGAATAACAATATTGAACCTTGGTTTTCCGGAAAGAAAAAGAAAAAAGCTTTTTTTTTTCTTTCGTTACGAAATGAAAATGAGTCGAGAAATCGACTTCCGTTTTGTTGGCTTGATCTATTAAACAATTAGCTCACAGGTAAAATTATTCTATTAAAAAAAAAAAATAGGGAAAAATCTCGTTCCTTTACTTTACAAAATCTAATAGAAAATATAGTTAATGTATTTAATTTTAAGTAAATATTTACCGATCTGTAAATGGAGCATCCTCAAGTGCATCAAATACACAAGCTCCAATAATTAAATATGTAAAAGTGCAAACGATAAGTGCAGCTGTACGAATATTTTTTTTTTGCACTTGAAATGGATCATTTAATTCTCCAGTTGTAATTGGTGTACGATCGCTGGGTGATGTTTTTCCAGCTGCTGCTTTAATACTAGGTGCTGTTTTACCCATTAAAATTGCACTAATATTATTTCAATCACTTTTCAGAATCAACTAAAATATATGCAAAATAAAATAAAACATTATAAATGATCTTTTACTAAACATACTATTGATCAAATAACTACGAGTAGAAAAAAACACCCACAAAAAAAAAAGTTTCTTTTCCTTTTTCTATCAGAGAAAAGAAATTCTATAGTAAAAATAATAAACAAGATCTTTTTAAACTTGAAATAGAAATAACAATTAGGTTGACTAGTTAGATATTTCTATTATTATGTTTATTCTCTCTTTTTCTTTTAAGTATGATTACACGCTTACATTTACACGATTTGTCGTCTGCTGAAAATTGCGTGACTAGAAAACACCAAGTGTCGACTCGCCTATGTTGTCGATGTTCGGTTTTTTTTGTCAACCTTTTCTTCTTTCTTTTCTGCTTCGTCTTCTTTCTACGGTGTTTTTTTTATGGAGCGCCCACAGGTAGATAGTAATAGCTGTTCAACTGAATCTTTTTACTATTGTTAGATGAATGTTCTGCACTCCTACTTCATACTCAGGAGAGGAAAAATGCGGACGACGTTTTCTTCGTTACCAGTCTCGTCATCAATTTAGAGCTATATGTTCTCTTTTAAGCAACAAAGAGAACAGAGTTGATAGTAATAAATAGTAGCAGAATATGGCGTGTATACTGGTGTTTTTTTTGTAGATCATTATCAGAGAAAAATGCACGAGGTAGCTAAAGTTTGTATTTTACTAAAAATGTATCTAAAATAGAAGTGTCGAAATATTGGCAAACGCAACTAAATAAACTGAAATAATTGAATGCGATGGAGCATGTGTCTATCATTCCGAAAACTCGTACTGAACACATTGTGCAATTAGTTTAGTAATCAATGCGCGCACGCACATCTATCTTGTGGTTACGCATGTGAATGAATCAATTGATTGCAAACTACTCGTCAACGAGAAGAAAATGACGACAACGATAGAGATCAGCAACAACAGCAAGCAGAAGATCGTCTTGCGTGTATGTTGATCAAAAAGACATTAGTGATGATGATGATAAAAGGCGAAAGAAGAGAGATAGAGATAGAGAGAGACAGACAGACAGAGAGAGAGAGAGAGAGAGAAAATCTCGGGCGGACGAAAGACAGCGACAGCGACGATGTAAAATGAGACTAATCAAAATATGTCGATGGATAGTCGATTGAACTAGCAAATGATGACAGAAGACGAATGAATGGCAGTAACAGCTGCATTCTCAATATGACATATTTAATGAAAAAAAGAAAAAAGATACAAAAATGTAAGCTGAATAAAAAAACCCATTTGATTAAATAATTAGAAAATATATCATTTTTTCAATAATCGATTGATTTCAACATTGCTACTCAACAATGAAGTGACCTTCTCATCTAACACTACAGGTCAACACTTATAGATCAGAATTAATAAAGAGCACGACGAGCACATAGCCGCTAGTTTGTGTTATTGTTTGACTTACCCATCTGTGGAAATGATCAGATAGGGTACACATATATCTAGATGTCTATTGACGTTCGGGGGTTAGTCTTCATTATTATCATTATTATTATTATTATTATTTGTTCTCTTTTTCTCATCATTATCGTTTGTACTTGACGATAGAAGCCTGACATGCAAGCAAAAAAAAGAGTGACAGTCAAGTATCGAGAACTATATACTTGTTCGTGAAGCAATTGATAGGCAAATTTTGTCTCGTAAAGCAATAACGGGACCATTTCAGAGAGAAAAATAAACACATTGAGATTGATTTTTTTTCTCCTCCCTTTTTCCTACTAAGAAAGATAGTAACATCATCATCATCATCATCAACAACATTTTCCTTCATCCTTTTTCAGTATTAGTTTAGCTCGTGAGAGAAAGACACGCGTTGTGTAATGTAGACGAACGCTGAGGCTATTAGCTCAGCTGTTATTTGAAGATGAAGAAAAGAAGACCTTGCGATATGTAGATAACATATCAAACAACAGTAATCTATGTTGGTCCAGCTTTAAAAAAATAGACAGTGTCTCATGTGTCAAAGGACACATTCCTAATTTATTATCTTGAGGGTGAGATTAATAATAAAAATAGTTATATACAAAAGAACAACATTTGACATTAGACTTATTGCAGAGAAAGAATAATACAACACATTATCAGGAGTCAGTAATCTGTTTTCTTTTTGTTTCTTTACACATCATATTTCTTATCACATTTATAAGCAACCCATTTGGTTCGTTTATATTGTGTAAAGTTTCAATAGGTACTATAAATTATAAATGAAGGGTAAACTCGACATTGATTCATATAATGATGATAATACTGGAATGGTTTTTTTTATATTGCCATTGTGCAATTAAATGTCAATT